ATCCTTGCAATCACTTGAAATGGTCCATTGCCTCTTGGTTGCAACTTAGAATGCCTTTGTGTAGGGAATCGCTCCTTCCGCATATGCACCCAAACCTAATCTCCAGGTTCAAACACAACTTTCTTGCACCCTTTGTTGGCTTGATTTACATATTGTTCAGTTCGTCGCCCTATGTTTTGTCACACCCTCTCATGTAGTTACTTAACCACTTTAGCTTTCTTTTTCCCATCCAAACTAGCTCGTTCATCAATGGGTAATGGCAATAAATTCAAAGGGGTGAATGGATTAAAACTATACACAACTTCAAATGGTGAATAGTTAGTTGCTGAATGGACACTCCGATTATAAGCAAATTCAACATGCGACAAACATTCTTCCCAATTCTTCAAGTTTTTCTGAATAATAGAACGCAAGAAAGTTGACAATGTCCTATTAACCACTTTTGTTTGTCCATCAATTTGTGGATGACAAGTAGTTGAAAACAATAGCTTAGTTCCCAACTTTCCCCATAAGGTCTTCCAAAAGTAACTCAAGAACTTAACATCGCGATCAGACACAATAGTTCTTGGAACACCATGTAAACAAACAACCTTCTTAAAGAACAGATTAGCAATATTGGTTGCATTGTCCGTTTTATGACATGGAATGAAGTGTGCCATCTTCGAGAACTAGTCAACAACAAAAAATAGAATCGTGGCCTCTTTTCGACCTTGGATCCATAGATATATCAACCCAAGGTTCAGTAGGTATGGGTAAGGGAGTATACAAACCATGTGGTAAAACTTTAGAGTTTGCTTGTTTACATGTTACGCACTTTTCACACATCCTTTCAACATTACGTTTCATATGTGGCCAAAAGAAGTGATCGTTTAGAATATCTAAAGTTTTCCTAACTCCAAAATGTCCCATTAAGCCACCTGCATGGGATTCCCTTATTAAAAATTCTCTTAATGAACAGTTAGGCACACATAATCGATTTTCTCTAAATAAGAACCCATCATGCCTATAAAACTTATCAAAAGCTACCTTCTCAAATGCATTAAACACGTTAACAAAATTTGGATCATTAGCATATAATTCTTTAATGTGCTCAAATCCTAATAACTTTGCACTTAGAGTAGAGATATGTGTGTACCTGCGAGATAATGCATCAGCCACAATGTTTTCTTTTCCTTGCTTGTACTTGATCACATAGGGAAATGTCTCAAGGAATTCCACCCAATTAGCATGTTGTCTATTCAACTTACCTTGTCCCTTGAGATGCTTCAATGACTCATGATAAATTTGTATCACGAACTCCTTAGGCCAAAGATAATGTTGCCATTTTTCTAAGGCCTTTACCAATGCATACATCTCTTTGTCATATGTAAGATAGTTAAGTGCTACACTAGTCAATTTTTCACTGAAAAATGTAATAGGCCATCACTCTTGCCTCAAAACAATGCCAATGGCAATACCTGATGCATCACATTCAATTTCAAAAGTTTTAGTAAAATTAGGTAAAACAAGTAATGGTGCAGAAATTAAATTCTCTTTAATCAAATTGAAAGCATTCTCCTATTCACTTTCTCACTTAAATTTGACACTTTTTTTCATGATTTCAGTCAATAGAGCTGCAATTGTGCTAAAGTGCTTAATGAATCTCTAGTAGAAACTTGCCAAACCATAAAAACTCTGCACCTCAGAAATATTCTTAGGTGTTGGCCATTCTTTAATAGCCTTAGTCTTTTCTTTGTCTACTATAATTCTATCTGCTGAAACAACATACCCTAAAAATATAATCTAATTTGTGCAAAAGGAACACATTTTAAGGTTAGCAAACAACTTTTCTTTTCTCTAAACCTCTAATACCATTTGCAAATACTCAATATGATTAGTTAAACTCTTACTATATATTAGAATGTCATCAAAATAAACAACCACAAATTTGCCTATGAGAGCATGCAAAATATGATTCATTAATCGCATGAATATACTAGGCACATTAGTTAATCCAAATGGCATAACTAACCATCCGTATAAACCATGTTTCGTTTTAAAGGCTGTTTTCCATTCATCACCTTCCTTTATCCTAATCTTATGATACCCACTTTTTAAATCAATTTTAGTGAATGTGCAAGAACCATGCAGTTCATCTAACATGTCATCTAATCTAGGAATAGGGTGACGATACTTTACAGTGATTTTGTTAACAACGCGATAATCAATGCACATACGCCAAGTCTCATCCTTCTTACTGAAACTGCACATGGACTCATGCTTTCTCTCGCATGCCCCTTCTTCATGAGTTCTTCAACCTGCTTTTGAAGTTCTTTCGTCTCATTGGGGTTGCTTCAATATGCTGGTCAGTTTGGAATTGTTGCACATGGAATGAAGTCAATTTGATGCTCAATTCCTCTTATTGGTGGTAAACCATTAAGAATGTCCTTTGGAAACACATTCTTGAAGTCTTGCAAAAGAGATTTAACAACATTAGGCAAAGAATCATTAAGTTCGTTAGTGTTGAAATAAGCATCTTTATACAAAAGCACAAACATAGGCTGCTTTGCAAAGAACGCAGCCTTAACATCAATTACTTTTGCATAAACAGTCACTGATTTTCTCTCTTTGTTTTCAACACTCTCAATCTTTTCTCTCCTTTTGGACTTTTTTTTTCTGTTGGTTTCTCTTTGTTTTTCATACCCTTAAGCTCACTCTCATTTCTCAACTCACTCTCTTTTTTTACTCTCATTTGATCCTCATAAACCTACCTTGGACTCAATGGTGCAAGAGTAATTGTTTTTCCCTCCATGACAAATGAATAGTGATTTTTGAAGCCATCATGTGTTACCCTTTCATATTGCCATGGTCTCCGTAAAAGTAAATGTCCAACATGCACAGGAACCACGTCACAAAGTACCTCATCCTTATATCGTCCAATAGAGATTGAAATCAGAACTTGCTTATTTACCTAGATTTCTCCAAAATCGTTTAACCATTACAGCTTATATGGCCTTAGATGCTTCGTCATAGGTAAATTAAGCTTTTCAACCAAAATAGTGCTAACTACATTGTACAACTATCACCATCAATAATCATATTACATACCTTGTTTTTGACATGGCACTTTGTGTGAAATATATTGTCACATTGTACTTCGTCATCTTCTTTGGCTTGCACATTCAAAGCTCACCTAGTGATGAGCAGTTCTCCATCAACGACATATTCCACACCATCATTAGCATCTTTTAATGGTGGCATAGATTCATCATCAAATTCACCCTCAGTTTCAATTTCTCCATCTTCTCTCAAGATCTTCATGTGCTTATTAGGACATTGTGATGCAACATGCCCACTTCCCAAGCATCGAAAACACTTTATGTCTCAGTTTCTGCCTTGCGTATTATTTGTTTTACTCTTCTCATTGCTGCCAACTTCTTTTGACTTAGATGCTGTAGTTTTAGGCTTAAATGCAGAATTTTCTTCCTTTTTGCTCCATTTCAATTTCCAAGAAGATGAGGAACCTGAATTTTGCCCAATTATGGTGGTGGCTCATTTACGCTTGAGTTGCCACTCTACTTTCATCGCCATATGCATCATATCTTCTAATTCCACATAATGCTGCAGCTCCACCATATTAACTATATCACGATTTAAGCCATGTAGAAACCATGCCATAGTTGCTTCTCAGTCCTCTTCCACATTTGCTCTAACCATTATGATTTCCATCTTTTTATGATAATCCTCAATGCTTTTGGACCCTTGAGTAAGGCCCTACAATCATTGATAAAGATCACGGTAGTAGTGACTAGGAACAAATCATTTTCTGATCATAGCTTTCATCTCCTCCCAAGTGTCAATATGATGCTCTCGATTTCTACATCGACTAAGCACAAGTTGATCCCACCACACCACAGCGTAATTGGTAAATTCCACCACTGCTAGTTTCACCTTTTTCTCCTCATAATAGTTATGGCAATCAAACACCAATTCCACCTTTTTTTCCCACTCCAAATACACATCTGGATCATTTTTGCCTGAAACGGAGGAATCTTCATCTTGATGCTACCTAAGTCACAATCTTGCCGATCTCTCCACCTCGTCAGATTTTGTTCTCCTCAGTTAAACCTACCTTTTTTATCCCCTCTACCTTCCATAAATCTATCCACGCTGAAATTTGAGTTTTGGGCATCATTGTTGAATGCATCTTCATAATCGTCATTGAGATAATCATTAGCGTCATTCCTATGCATATTCGGACTTCCATTTTGTATTTGGTATAAATTGGTTATAGCTGCATCTTGCTTCTCCATTTTGTCTCTAATCTCACCAAACATGATGTCTAGCCTATGAAATTGTTGTTGCATTGCTTTGAGCATGAGAGATTCATCCACATGGTGTCTTCTAGTGGTTGATTTGTCATCACCGCTTGACATGATTGAAACCTGCGACGAATGTTAGAAACAGAAAAATAAAAGGACCTCACAACACTCCTTTATGTGTTTCACTCCACTCTCTCACAAAATGGCACTCAACGCTCGTGTTTTGCTCATTGTAGAATTTGGCTTTTCTCTCAAGTGTTGCTCACACCTCTTGCCTTCTTCCCTCACTCAACCTTCCTCTGTCAGTTCATTATTGAACTAAACAAGCTCAATTCAAGTTATTTTGCAGCAATCTAACTCCAACAAATCTGCAACAAGAGTTAAAGGAAACAGAAAGACATAAAGGAATGAACAAGAAAAGCAATAAAAGAACTAAACCCAAACAAATTAAAACGAACAAATCAATTCAAGCACTTCTTAGTAGGAATTGACTTGACTATTCCTTAATGTAGTAAGATTCCTAACTTAGGAAGGACTAAACAAAATTTGCAATCTCCTTGTTTGAATAGAACTCAAAGAGAATTTCCAACTCCTTATTGTAGTGGGATTCCTTCTTCCAACTCCTTATTGGAGTATGATTCCTTCTTCTTTAAGGATTTGGCCACAGATTTCTTTTCTATATAAGGAATTAAAACCACAGAATTGTGTTGCTTGTTTCTCTCTCTCCTTAATTTTTTTTTTTGCATCTTTTTTTTTTTGGCAATCCTCTTCCCTTTTTTTTTGTACGACTTCTTCCTTTTTTTTTACTTATTTTCGTGCTTTTTCTCTCTCTTTCTCTCTCTCTCTCTCTCTCTCTCTCTCTCTCTCTTTTAAACCAGCAACATAGATTCAAAAGAGCAAAATAAGAGAGAGAAGAATGACACTGAATTTTTTTTTATTATAAAAACTGAAAATTAAAGATACGCAAACCTGATTTAGGATATGATGCTCTAATACCAAGATGATGAGAACCCCAAAAAGAACAATGAGACCCACAGCATGACAAGGGATTTCTAAACTCTAGGAAAGCCAAATCAAGTTTATAATAGGACTTTGACCCGTTGTTTATGTCACAACAAGAACCAAAGGCAAAAACCTTGATCCATTGTCTATGATGCAACAAGAACCAGAGGTATAAAGTTGGTTGACACCACACCCTCAAATGATTAAGAACGAGAATGATAAGTCAGGTTAAAACGCCATAAGAATAATTTTGATAAGTTCTGTAAAGTTTTAAAATGAACTAAAGTGAAAAATCTCTCAAAAACTCAAATTCAATAGCTTCCCCAATTAGGGTTACAAGCTTTTTAAATAGGGAAAAGTAATTCTAATCAGAATAGGAAACTAACACCCTAAACTTTAATCCTAATAACCATGAATTGGTCCTCAAAATAATGAATGTTCAGCTCAAAATAAAACAAAAATGTGAAAATCACTAAAAGTAACCTAAAGTTACATGAAATATCAGTTTATTACAAATTGCGACAGAATTGCGGGATTTTGACGCAAACTGTGTAATTTAGCATAAATAACCTCCATTAAGCTTCTCTTGAACCTAAATGATATTTACCATGCCTTGATAATCATCCAAACTTCAATTTACTTGTTGCATGTTGTTATCAACCTAAATCTGCTCAATAAGGCCATTTAAAACTTTTTGCATCTTTCTAGCTCTAGCTCTTTTGACTGAACCTCCTGGAATGTATAATGGATCTCTTGAAGTAATACATGTGGGGTCATCTTGATTCCCATCACATTATCTTTTATTTCTTTTTTAAAGATATTATAAATAAAAACAAATATTATTTCTAAATTATTAATTTAGGAAAAAAGTCAAAAAAAAAATTGACAATTATTTTGAGATGTAAGAAGTAAGCAATAGGATTAATAAGTGTTTTTTTTCTGCTTAATTTATATTGTTAAATTTATAATCTTTGAATAAAAAAATTATAATAAGAATAAAAAAATTTTAATTAGAGGATTCTTTTGCCAATCAACAACCGCGGCATCATCCTTGAGTTCATTACGTGATTGGTGCCGATTAAAAAAAAAAAAAAAACAAAAAACAAAAAGTCATTGCATAATTGGTAACGTGGAGAATGGAAGAAAGGAGGAAAATGGGATGTTAATGGTTGTGAGACCTATAGTCCCCCTTTGAAAATTAAAAAAAAAGAAAAAGAAAAAGAAAAAAATTATTTAAATGTTAAATGTCAAAAGTTAACAGAAAAATTGACACCATTAGTGCCACTTGACTGACGATGTCACCATAAGAACCCTAATAACGTATATTTTTCTAGACTAGAGGGACTCCAATTGTAATTGCCCCAAACCAGAGATCCTTCTTCAGTCCACGTCTTCACTTCGGATGAGCTTGCAAAGCCCCGAGGTTGGTCCTCGGGGTAGACACTCCGATGCTTAAGTCAGTAATAATCGGGGCTACCTTTAGAGTGGAAATAAAAGGAGCTTAGGGTTCGTTTCAATTACCTTTTTGACGTGGTCCCTGGGGGGTATTTATAGGCTTTTGCGAGGAACCCACGTGGCATGCCAAGCAAGATATTCGGAGTCGGAGTCTGACGTGTCTCTCCAGACAATTATTTCGGGATTGAGAAATTGAGAGATATTCAGATGCAAGGATGTCCATCATAACTGCTATGTAGCTTATCATAAGGAATCAGGTGCGGGCATGCTTATTGTTGCTGTCATGCAGCTGTTTGAGTGGGAAGTTTGGGATTTATCCTTCACTTCAGTTATACAGAATTACTGTCGTACGTCCGAGGTTGGGCACCTCGAACCTACCCTTACACTATTCCCCCCCCTCCTCGAAGTCATTCACTTGTGAATGATTAGTGTGGAAGATGAGTGTAGACGGAGGTAGTCAGTATAAAAATGTATGACATGAAGTCGTGTTTTTGGCTACAATCGAGGTAAAAATGCATGACATAGAGTCATGTGTTATGATCATAGCCGAAGTAAAATTGCATGACATGGAGTCATGTGTCATGGCCGTAGTCGAAGTAAAATAGGTGACGTGTGGTTACTATGGCAGGAGCCGAAGTAAAATAGGTGACTTGGGGTCACTATGGCTAGAGCTAAGGTAAATAATGATGACCGAAGTCATAGCGGCTGGAGTCGAAGTAATAAGTAATGACCGGAGTCATGTGGCCAGAGCTGAAGTAATAAGCAATGACTAGAGTCATAAGGGCCGAAGCTGAAATAAAAGTAGTGACCGAAGTCATAATGGCCAAGGCCGTAGTAAAAAGCAATGACCGGAGTCATAATGGCCGGAGCCGTGGTAAAATATAACGACCGGAGTCAGTGGCCGGAGCCATGATAAAATATAATGACCGGAGTCAATGGCCGGAGCCGTGATAAAAAGTGAAACGTGTGACACTAAGTCATTGTGGCCGGAGCCAAAGTACAATATGTGACAAGGAGTCATAATGGCCTTGGCCGAAGTAAAATGTGACAGTCAGTGGTCGAAGCCGAAGTGAAAAACTTGTAAGTTAAAAATATAATTGTGAAAGTAAACAGAAGTGTTGAGTTGGGCTTAAGTGGGCCCATGTATAAAGTTTGACTTAGGGTTATTATGTGATATGACAGCTGTCTGTCCAAAGATGTGTACAATTAATACATACTGAAAAGAGTAACTGTGACAATCAGACAAACGGAATTAGGAAACGAACCATCGAATTCCAACGGCTCCCATTAGGGTTACACAATTGAATTCGAATCGGTGTGAATAAGGACCATAGGATTAAACAAATCCCAACCGTTGAGATCTAATTTTACCCAGAAGTATAAATAGTCATTTTTTTGTAGAAAAAAGTTTACTTTCATTGTATTTTCTGCAAAATTTCTGTAAAAGCTTTACTATGTGCTTCCTGCACATGAACTGTTGCATCATTTGGGGATTTCTACATCAAGTTTTCGAAACCAAAATCAGGTAATGTACACGAAACTCTGATTTTGATTTAATCGAAGTGTACTCTCCTTTCTCCCTTTCTATGTTTGATTTTGAGTCCTCGGAAGAAAGTTAGGTTTGGGAGTGAGAATGATTTTGAGTGTGCGTTCAAGAGTTTTTTTTTTTTTTTAAGGGGTCCTGACTTCATTCCTCCCCCTACTTCGTGCAGAAATTGAAAAAATGTCTTCGAAAGAAACAGTAAGTGTTATAGGAAGTGAGGTAATGCCTCTAGAGTATGGTGGGATGGACTTAGAGAGCAGTCCATCTAGTTCGGAGAGGACGGTGGAGGAGGTGGGAGGAAGGGAGGGAATGGGAGGAGGGGAGGTAGTTGGGGTTGGGGGAGATAGTGTACCCATCACTGTGGTAGAAGTGGAGGGCAGGAGAGAGAGGTGTTATGATGTTGATGCAGACATAGTGGAGGAGGAAGCAGTATGAGTCTGAGCTCGAGACCAGGGATAGCCTGGGGTATTTGGTGGAGAGTTATGAGATCTCATCCTGAGTTCTAATTAGGCCAGCTGGGGTAGAGGAGAGGGCGTGCTCTGCTCCTCGGGATCATTGGATGCCTGTGTATGCCCATTATTTGGCAGCTAGGCTTAGGTTTCCAATTCCTGAGTTGCTAGTGGGTTTGTTGTTAGATTATGGTATAGGATTGACATAGTTAGTCCCCAACGCTATGAGGGTAATAATAGGATTTTTAGTTTATTGTCGAGCTTAGGGGATTAATGTGCCAACTATAAATATGTTTAAGTATTTTTTTTGTTTTAAAGGGGGGTAGTAGGAAAGATAAGGGGTGGTATTATTTCACCCCTAGGGTAGCAAATAGGGAGAATAGAGCGTTATTTACTGCGGGTCTTTCATCCATTAAAGGATGTAAGGAAAAAATTTTCTTTGTAGATGTGGGGAAGGGGGGATGCTGAGGTGGAAGTGTTGTCTTCCTGGAAAGTTAAGAGAGCCAACCAGAATAAGTTTGGTTTGAATGAGGATGAGGAGGAAGAGGTGGGAATGTTGGTGAGGGAGAGTGGGAATTTAGTAAACATCATGTACCTCACCAGCGCAAAATGCATAGAAGCTGCTGAGCTCTATGGGCCAAGCGCTTTAAGTGAAGGTTTGTTTAAATTCATATTATAGTATTGGATGTAGAATGTAGAGCTGTGTAATTGATATTGTTTTTTCTTGTTCTACAGCTGAAATGGACAACTTTTTGGGCGTTGTAGGAGGAGTGGCCATCCCCAAGAAGCCAAGGAAGAAGTCAAAGACTTCAACCAAGCAAGTGGATGAGGAGGGAGTTGAAAAGGAGGTAGTGCCCAGCACTTCAGCTGGGGTGGAGGAGGAGGTGCCACGGCTGGAGTTGAAGAGGAAGGGTAGGAAGGAGAGAGGGGCACTATAGAAGAAGAAGAAGGCGGTGGAGGAAGAGGAAAGGGGGAGCGAGGTTCCCCAATTCGCACCTCGGCCTCCTCTTGTTGAGCTTGACCTTGAGCTCAGGGAATCTGAAAACGGGGCTGAGGTACGAGCTCCTGGCAAGGGAAAGGGCCTTGTTCCCCCGTTGTCCTTTTAGAGCAGCTTGTTCGAGGCGAAGAACATGACGAGGGCCAGGAGGTTCATCAATTTCACCTTTCCCAAAGTGGACAAGCGTTACGTATGGGACGAGGCTCTGAGGTACTATGGGGCTTCGGTAGTGAAGCATGTTTTAGAGGTATGTTAAGTTAATTTACTTGTATTTACTAGTGTTATTTGTTTGTTTATTCTTCTTCTTCTTCTCTCTCTTTTCTTTTTTTTTTTTTAACTTCTGCTTAAATTGCAGAGCGCGAGCTGGGTGAATAGTCTAGCCCAAGAGTTCATGGAGAGTGTGAAGGAGCGCTCATTCTTGCAAAAGCTGAGCCATTAAGAAGAAGTAAATTACTTCAGATGAATTAAAAAGAAATAAAGCACTTCATGTGCAAAGTGACATTCATTAGTAGAAGTGAAGTTCAAGGAACAAGTGTTAAACAAATTTATCTCGGATACATAGAGTAAGAGATAAAATGAATCTTAACAATCACGAAGTAAGAAGTATAAAGGCAGTAAGACATAGATCACTTGAAAGAAGTTTATTATGGGTAGCATTTCTTCAAGTTATTGACATTCCAGACTCTAGGAACTCTCTTTCCTTCAGCGTCTTAAAGGACATAGGCATCAGGATGTGGCACCTCGGCCATAGTATAAGGGCCTTCCCAATTTGGGGCCAATTTGCCAAAACGAGTTCCAAACCCTGTTAGGCCAACTTTTCTGAGAACAAGGTCTCCTACTTTGAATGTTCGAGGGCGGACTCGCTTATTGTAGAAGTTGGCTAATTTCTGCTTGTATACAAGAGTTCGAAGCCGTGCTTCTTCTCTGACTTCAGTAAGCAGATCAAGGTTTTCCCGAAGCAGTTGTCCATTTCATCCTTCATCAAAATGGGTGACTCGGAAGCTTAGGACTCCAATTTCAATAAGAATGATTGCTTCGGTACCAAAGGCCAGGTGGTAGGATGTTTCACCTATTTCATGAAATTATACTCTTTATAATATGCTTTACATATTATGAATATTTGATCTAGGGTAGAGCCTCAGGTGAGGAAGTAACGTAGAATAAAAATAAAACGAAAGGAACTTGGTTTGAAAATAGTACCTGTGGCAATTTTGCTCGTTGTTCTGTATGCCTAGAAGACGTTGTTGAGCTCATTTGCCCACTTGGCCTTGTGTTGTTCCAACCTCGGCTTTATTCCTTCTAAAATGCATTTATTAACAGATTCTACCATATCATTGGACTCCCGATGGTAAACCGAGGTGAATTGCAATTTGATCCCGTAGCTGGAACAAAAATCTTGGAATGAGGAGCAGTTGAATTGAGTTCCATTATCTGCCACAATCTGATTCGAGATCCCCTATCTGCAAATGATCGAGCTGAAAACAAAGTCTTCAACCTTCTTGGAGGTAAGACTGGATAATGGCCGAGCTTCAACCCATTTTGTGAAATAATCTATACCAACAATCAGATGGGTTACACCATTAATCCCTTTCATGAATGGGCCCAAAAGATCCAGTCCCCACTGAACAAATGGCATGGTCCTACCAAGTTCGTGAGCTCTTCTGCTGGTTGGTGAGTCAGATGTGCAAAGAATTGGCACTTCGGGCATCTTTGAACAAAGTGAGTGGTGTCTTTATACATATTTGGCCAATAATATCCCTTTCCTAAGACTTTATGAGCCAAAGTTCTAGCACCAACGTGACTCTCGCAAACACCTTCATGTACCTCCCGAAGTGCGTACTCCGCTTCATAAGGATTCAAGCATCGTAGAAGAGGGAGTGAGAAAGATCTCTTATAAAGGACCTCATCTACAAGTGTATACCGAGATGCTTTCTTTCTCAACTTCATTGCCTCCTGCTTGTCCTCAGGTACTATCCCATCTCGTAAAAAGGAGATAATTGGGTTAGTCCAGCTCGATGTGTCTGGATCTGTGCTGATCTCCATCATCCGTGGCTTCATGAAGCTTGGTTCAACTAAGACCTTCACAAAAACTGATCTGGAACTTAAAGAGCTATCAGAGGCAAATTTAAAGAGTGAATCTGCCTGTTCATTCTCAATTTGGGGAATTTTGCTCAAACAAAATTTCTTTAATTTGCACTTTAGCTCAGCCACTATGGCTACATATTTCACCATCACAGGATCGACAACTTCGCAGATTGAGTTGATTTGATTCACCACCAGTTGGGAGTCACTATACACTTGGATCGCGCTGATTTTCAACTCCAATGCTAGTTGCAGACCAAGTAGCAGGGCTTCATACTCAACCACGTTGTTTGTTGCATCGAAGTTAAATTTTAGAGCATGTTCACTTCGGTATTCATCTGGGCCAATTAAGAGAGCACCAGCTCCTGAACCCTTGCTACTAGATGCCCCATCAACATGTAATGTCACGCCCCAAACTCAAATTCGAGGTGCGACAGACGCCGTGCACTTGCGAGATGAGTCCCACAAATGCACAAGGCTCGGAACTTAATCATATCATACTCTGATACCATCAAAATTTGAAGATCAAATTATAAAATCTATGTTCAATTACAATATGGCTATCCTTCTAACTCGTCACTTCCCGTGGTTTCCCCGTCCTCGGATTCACTTCCTGAAATGGTGGACAAGGAAAAACTATGAGATAAACTCAGTAAGTAAAATATGGAGTGCCCATTATTAAACTTATAGCATGCCAACATGTGCAATCACGCAAAACGGATACAGTACGGGAACGAAATAAACGTCTCCTCTATAGGTCATGGCCAGCATCTAACACCCACTGGCAGGCGCACTGTTTGCTGGTGTATAATCCCCACAAGCAGGGTCACTATTTGCTGGTGTATAATCCCCATAAGCAGGGTCACTATTTGCTAGTGTATAACCCCCACAAGCAGGGTCACTATTTGCTGGTGTATAACCCCCACAAGCAGGGTCACTCATGAACCGGTTTTATCAATAACATGTCGACATGTGCTAGCGTTTATAACCTCCCCCACTAGTAGGGTCACGAATAACATATCGACATGTGCCGACATGTGCTAGCGTTTATAACCTCCCCCATTAGCAGGGTCACTAATAACATGACCACATCGAAGACAAAATAGGCAGAAGTTAACAAGAAAATCACAATTCACAATCACTTTCAGAGCATCAGGACAGTCACTTAAATTTCAAGTAGGCATGCTCAATTTAATGAAAAGCATAAAACATTTCACTTCAAATCAGTCATACTTGTGTAAAACGGGTTT